CGGGGCTCGGAGAGGGGCCCCTGCCACGCCCCCTCTGAGCAGGGGGGCTCTTCACTGAGCACCTGCCCTGTGCTGTGCAGCTCGGGGCCTCGGGGCTTCCGGACGGGAGACACACGCCTTCCTGTGGGCGTAAATGAGCACAGCGCTTACTGGTGGAGTCATGTACGTTTTGATCGCATACTTCCATCTCTCTCTCTCTCTCTCTGTTTTTTGGCGTTGGAGTCTCACCCTGTCGCCTAGGCGGCAGTGCAGTGGCAAGCGCACGGCCTCCGCAGCCTCGACCTGCTGAGTTCAGGTGATCCTTCCGCCTCAGCCTTCCAGGTAGCTGGAGCCACAGGCACGCGCCACCACACCCAGTGAATTTTTTTGATTTATTGTAGAAATGAGGGCTTGCCAAGTTGTCCAGGCTGGCCTCGAACCTGTGGGCTCAGGCAGTCCTCTCTCCTCGGCCTCCCAAAGTGCTGGGATTATAGGCGTGAGCCACGGCAAGGGGGACTTATACGTCCATCTCTAAAGAAATAGGCCGAAGCTGGGCACGGTAGCTCATGCCTGTAATCCCAGCACTTTGGGAGGTGGAGGCAAGAGAACTGTTTGAGTCCAGGGGTTGGAGCCCAGACTGGCCAACTTGGCGAGACCTCGTCTCTACAATGAATCAAAAAAATTAGCCAGGCACGATGGCACGGGCCTGTAGTTCCAGCTACTTGGAAGGCTGGAGTAGGGTCTTCCCTACCTTTCTATCCTCAAATATCCTCCCACCACATATTAACCATTAAAAAAAAAAAAAAAAACTCTGACTAGGTTTTCTCTCTCACATAGTATCTATAGTCCACAAAGAAGTGACTTTTTCCTTCCACACATTCGAAGTGCTTCTTTGTGTGATGACACAGCCCTGCAAATCATGCATAGTGAGGAGCAGAGGCATGACAGGTCAAATCCTATGGGGTGAACTAGACACCGCCTTGACTTACTTGGCACACCAGCTCTCAGATCGTGCAGTATCTGGACTTGTGCCTCGGTAGAATTTCAGACCACTGTTGTGGGCCTTCAGAGCACTGGGGAATGGTGTTAAGTCAGAGAATGCCGTGTACTTGCTGGAGGGAGTGTTCATTCTCCTCTTATGCCTGAGACTCCAAGCGAAAAGACCCTCAGCCCCTTCTGCCTTCCCCTTTGCCTCTGTGGATACTGTCTGGAATCTGTAAAGTGGCGTCATGAAATGGTATTACCCGATTCCTTCCGTTTCAAGTCTCACCTCTGTGGCGCCTTCTCTGCAGCAGCCCTTGCTAATCTCTGCACACTTACTCTCAGAGAGTTCGTTCATCCCATAAATGTGCACCAAGCCCTTGCTCTGAGCGGGCACTGTGCTGAATACTAGGACAAAGAGGAAGGAGACACTGCCTCTGCCTTTCAGGAACTCGGACTTGGCGAAAGGAACGTGAGAGTTCACAGATGAGTAACCCTGAGAGTTTCAGGAGACTTTTGAGGGTGGCTATAGGGCCACAGACTAGGCATTGCACAGCATCCTGGAGAGGATTAGTTTACCTAAAATTTGGGAAATAACTTTTTTCTTGTGTAAATAAGCACGGATCTATTACAGAATAGGTTCCAACGAGAAGTTATTTTGTTTTGTTCTTGTAGAGATGAGGTCTTGCTATGTTGTCCAGGCTGGTCTGGAACTCCTGGACTCAAGCAGTCCTCCCGCCTTGGTCTCCCAGAATGCTGGGATTACAGGTGTGACCCACCACGCCCAGCCTCCAACATGAATTTTTGAGCTGAAATAGGAGATGCCCAAGGAGTCACAGTATAGGGCCTGGCATATACTAGATGCTCAGTGAACACTTGTTGGATGGCTCTCATCTGTTCCCCTCTCCATGCACACTGATTTTTGCAGGTATCGCCTGCCAGCCCCCATGTGCCTACTGCCACCCAGCCCCCAGCTCTGCCCAGTCAGCTCTGTGCCCCCCTCAGCCAGCTGCTCTAACTACTTGCTCTCTCTCTGCTACCCAGGAAACCCCTGCTGCTGCAATTGCCCCGGTTATGCCAGAGGAACCTGATGTCCCTGCTGATGGCTGTTCGGCCATCGCTGCCCGAAAGCGGACTCCTCTCTGTGCTGCAGATTGTCCAGCAGGACCTAGCCTCTGCCCCTGATGCCTGGCTCCATGCCCTGGGGGAATTGCTGCGAAGGGATGTGGGGGTTGAGGCCTCCATCGAGGGAGCTTCCCTGCTGTCCAAAGGGTGCCAGAGACAACTCCAAGGCCTGTGTCGGAGGCTGGGCCAGGGGGGCAGGAGGTTGAAATCATCCCAGGCTCCAAACCCTGAAGAAGAGGAGGATGGGGATACCCTGCAGCCTGGGAAACGCAAAAAGGAGCCAGAGGAAGAGCCCGCCACTCCTGTGAGGGAGAGGGCCCCCAAAAGGTTCCGGTGTTCAGACAGGAGAGACGAGGTAGAAGAAGATCCTGAGGAGAGACCTCAACCCAAGACACTGGAATCTCTAGAAAGTGGAGGAGGTGTATCTCCTGCTAAGAACCAGCCTGTCGTGAGAGCCGAGACCAGCAAGGCTGGTTCAGGTCTGGAGAATGCTAAGGGTCTAGCTGAGAGTGTGGAGTTGCCCAAAGCTGTCCAGGTACTGTGGGGGGGAGGCTGGCTTATTTATTTTAATTTTAATTTTAGAGTCAGAGTCTCGCTCTGTCGCCCAGGCTGGAGTGCAGTGGGACAATCACGTCTACCGCAGCCTCAGCCTGCTGGGCTCAGGTGATCCTTCCCCCTCAGCCTTCCAAGTAGCTGGAACTACAGGCATGTACTACCACACCTGACTGATTTTTTATTTATTTATTGTAGAGACGAGTTCTCTCCATGTTGCCCAGTGTGGTCTCAAATTCTTGGGCTCAGGCAGTCCTCTTGTCTTGGCCTCCCAAAGTGCTGGGATTACAGGCACACGCCACAGTGCCCAGCAGGGGAGGCTAGTTTAGAGTGATCCTCCAGCAGTGGCGGTTTACCCATAGCAAGGACAGGTTGGAACACTGTTTCCCAATTGGAATGACTCTGTAGTTCCATGGAAGAAGGGGCTGGTGGGTTAAGGAAATGTATCCTCACTCTGTAGACTCTTCAGGTGGGGGCAGGGGAGCGAGTTATTGGAGGCAGGATCAGTTGTCCTAATGTCTGTAATGTGGCTTAGAGGGTGCCAGGCAAGCAGAGAGGCCCTGAGCTACCGCTGCCACCTCATCCTGTGGGGTGGGAGACTGCTGGCATCCAGCCTCCCTTCCAGGCTAAGGCCTGGGTCTGCCCCTGCTTGGGTTTTTAATTTTTACTTTTAGGAGCTAGAGGAGGCGTTGGCCACCCAGGTCACACTCCTCCTGCGTCCCTATTTGGATTGGATGCAGAGAAGACGATTCAAGACAGCTGGATCTCTCATGGGCCTCGTCTAGCTTGGATTCTTTGGCAGTTTTCAAGAGCTTCATGTTCTTGGCTCTCTTGAATCATCGCTGCCGCTAGCTCCCACTGACCGGTGGCCTTCTCAGGAGAGACTGGGCTGGGGCATGCTGCAGGGACAGGCGCATGGCAGTGACTGGGCTCTCTTCTACAGGACTGGGTTCCCAGGCTGCAGCAGCTGCTGAAGACCTTCGGGGAGGTGACTGGCCCCACCCTGCTCCCCATAGCCCCTCTTCTGCCTTCTGCCCAGACCCCAGCCATGCCTAGAGAAGCCCCCATGCAGTGAGGCACAGGCTGGTTGGGGGAAGTGGGGTGGAGGAAGGGTCTGAGGACAGTCTGCGGGAGCGTTTCTCAACCCAAGTATAGACATACCACCTAATTGCAGGCAAGTTCCTCTACTCCAGTAGCACCCTCCAGGATCTCAGCCTCTCCTTTCTGCCAGCTGAAGGGATGGCCTCAGCGACTTGAACCTGAGGGCTCTGCCAACCCTGACATGGGATTTGTCTCTCCAGGGATTGAAGGGGTTGGAGGAGGTGCCCCCAGTCGAGCTGCAGCTTCTCCATGAATGCAGCCCTAGCCAGGTGAGCCCACCTAGACTGCCTGACCCTGAGGGTGCCTCCTCTCTCCCGCCTTTTTCTTTGTAAGTTTATGTTTCGCTACCTCGTGGGGAATCTGGGAGGGGGTTTTGCTATTTTCTGTCTCTCAGGGGTAGGGGCCACCCTGAGTGGTTTCCTCTAGCCCTCGGCTCCTCCCCTGGGGCAGCTCTCCCAGCCTTGCCTTGTCCTGGGGTGTCTGGCCTGCTCCTTCTGCTGTCCAGTTGGCTTGAGACAGCTTAGCAGAGGCAGACTGAGTGTCCCTGGGTCGTCCCTCCCCCTGCCCGCCCTATCACCAGATGGCCCTGCTGTGTACCCAGCTGCAGCTCTCCCAGCTCTCGGACGCAGGTCTCCTGCAGCTCTGCACCTGGCTGCTGGCTCTGTCGCCGGATCTCAGCCTCAGCAATGCTACTGTGCTGACCAAGAGTCTCTTTCTTGAACGGGTAGGTGCACTGGGAAGTACTTGGAGTGCCAGGGACAATGGGGAGGAGCTCTGAGTCTTCAGAGGGTGGTGTTTGGGAGGGGCGGTCCCAGTCTTGCAGGCATCTGGCCGGTGGCTACCCTGGGGCAAGGAAAGGATGCCCACTAAACTGGCAGGGCCTGGACGCCCAGATTGTCTACCCACCTGGCATCTAGCTCCTCCTCCTTGGGCACTAGACCCTTCCAGAAGCTGATCAAGGGGCTCTCAGGGACTTGGGAGCCAGAGAGGGGAACTATGTATCTTTTCTAATAGATGAGTTCTAAATGAAATAAATTGTGGGGTTTTTTTTCCCTTGTAATGTGTCACTATCTGAAATATGTGCCGGAAAAACATTTATTGGAAAAAGAAATGAATGAACTTTTTCCTCCTGTTGGCGTAGATCCTCTCCCTGACTTCCTCGGCCTCCCGCCTGCTTACAACCGCCCTGACGTCCTTCTGTGCCAAGTACACCTACCCTGTCTGCAGAGCCCTCCTTGGCCCCGTGCTCCAGGCCGCTGGCCCAGGTAACTCTGGAACCAGCCCCAGGCCCTGAAGCTCTGCCCTCTCTATTCCCAGCACCTTTCACCCTGGGGTGGCCCTGGCAGGAGCTGGGTATTCATTGGGTGGAGATGCTTGTTGCTCCTCTGATGATGCCCCTGTAATAGGCTGGGCATTCTGTTCCCCCCAGTCTTATCTTCTCCTGCCATTTCTCCTGGACTTTTCCCCTCTGCTGTTCCCACCCAGGTCCGGCTCAAACAGAGTTACTGTGCTCCCTCGTGAGGGATGAGGCCCTGGAGCCAGACGCACAGGTCCTGATGCTAGGGTGAGTGTGCAGGCCTCCTGTCCCCATTCCCATCTCTGCCTACAAGCCAGGCTTGCTGCTGGCACTCTGGGGTTGGGGCCAACTGGCACAAGACCTGTGCCTCAAAGACAGGCCGTGACGTCGCCAGTGCCTCCTCTTCCTGTTGCCTGCTCCTGGCTTGTGCCTTCCTGCCCATGGGCCTTGCAGGTTGCCATCTTCTACAGTTCCCCAGCCTAGCTTGCAGTCTTCTACAGTTCTGTCTCTGTGGGGTGTGGCAGCTGGCTCCATGCCTGGTGCCTTGGGGAATACAGAGAAGAGGCTGGTGGTCCCTGCTCTTGAGTACTTTGCGGCATGGTTGGAACATGGCACAGTGGTTAAGAGCCCTGGCGCTGGAGTCAGACAGACATGGTTTCAAATCTCAACCTTGCCTTTTTTTAAATGTGTGAACTCAAACAAATGACTCCATTTTTCTGAGCCTCAGTTTCCTCATATGAAAAATGGGAATGATAGGCTGAATGCAGTGGTTCATGCCTATAATCCCAGCACTTTGGGAGACTGAGGCAAGGGTACTGCCTGAGCCCAGGAGTTCAAGACCAGCTTGGGCAACACAGCAAGACCTTGTCTCCAAAAAAATCAGCTGAGCATGGTGGTGTGCGTCTGTAGTCCCAGTTACTTGGGAGGCTGATCCCTGGAGGTCAAGACTGCGCCCTGGAGGTCAAGACTGCCATAAGCTGTGATTGTGCCACTACACTGTAGCCTGGGCAACAGAGTGAGACCCTGACTCAAAACAATAAAACAGAAAAATGGGGATGATATTCACTTTGTAGTACTTTTCTGGATATTCTGTGTGATAATGCATATAACCGATCCAACACAATATTTGGCATCTATTAGATAGTGCTCAAAACTTGGTATTAAGTTGGTATTAAATTTAACTATTGAAATTGGGCAGTCAATGGCCGGGCTTGGTGCCTCAGCCTGTAATCCCAGTGCTTTGGGAGGCCGAGGTAAGTGGATTGCCTGAGCCCGCGGGTTTGAGACCTGCCCAGGCAACTTGGCGGGACCTCATCTCTACAATAAATCAAAAATTAGCTGGGCATGGTAGCACGCACCTGTAGTTCCGGCTACTTGGAAGGCTGATCACCAGAGCCCAGGAGGTTGAGGCTGCGGTGACTGGGAGCATGCTACTGCACTCCAATCAGGGTGATGGAGTAAGACTCCAGCTCAAAAAAAAAGAAATTGGGCAGTCAAGATACTCATAAAACAATGAGAAATTAGGCAGTCAAGATACTCATAAAACAATGAGTAAGGCCTCTCTGGACACAGACAGAAATATGAAATGCTGGGTATGATATGAGAAGGCAATAGCCTCAAACATAATATCAGTCACTGTTTGTTGAGCACTTTCCCCATGGATTAGGTTCTCAATTTGGTCTTCATGCAGTCCTGTGAGGCAGATGCTGCCACTGCCTTAGAGATGGGAAAACTACTCAGAGAGGTTAAGGGACTTGACACAGGTCACACAGCCAGCAAATGATAAAGCCTGAGATCAAACCCAAGTCTTTCTGTACATGCTGCATTTTCAAACAAGTGAGTGCTGTGCAGTGGGACAGAAAGCGCAGTTGGCATGGCTGTCACACAGGTGGTGAAGGTTCACCTCTAGAAAGCTCCTGTGTGTTCTATCTTTCCATCTTCCTCTCGTCTGAGCCTCCTTTGCCTTTTGTGCTCAGGATACACCTCTACTGCCAGTCATTTTTAGGGGCCCTTGGCATATCTCACTACCACATCCTCCGTTGTCAGCTCCTGGGGATCTTGGGGTTGTGGCATTCTTGGCCCTTCCTTGAATGGGCCCTGCAGCAGTGGCTCCTGGGGCTGCCACCAGCCTCAGGAGCGCCCTGCCTGCTCATCCATAGGGTGAGGGTCTTGGCTGTCCCAGGCTTTGCCCTGCTGTGGGATTAGAGCAGGAGATACCCAGGCTAGGACGGGAGGCCAGCTTCCTCATCTGGGCCTCTGCTTTGTAGACAGATCTTGGAACTGCCCTGGAAGGAGGAAATCTTCTTGGTGTTGCAGTCATTCCTGGAGCAGCAGGTGAGCAGGCTGCCTTAGGGAGAGTTGCTGGAGAGTACTGTCGTGCTGTGGTAGGCCTGGGTTTCCTGGGTTTCTGAGTCCTTCGGCAATGGAGGGTCAAGCAGGATGGCTGCCCTGTGTTGGTGGGAGAGCCCTACGGCTTGCAAGGCCAGGAGCAGGGAGCTGGCTGCATGGTCATTCTCGCTCCACCCCCCGCACTGGCTGTGGGGCCTTGGGGTGGGAATTTTCGATGTGTGTGTAAATTAAATTTCATTTCTGAATAGGGAATAGATTAATATGTTCACGATTTTTAAAGCTCAAAAGCATGTAGTGAAGAATATTCCCCTTATTCCTCCCCCAGCCATCCAGATTCCCCTTCCCAGGCGACCAGTGGGACTAGCTTTAGGAGAGCCTCCCAGAGGTGCTGAGTATATATGGAAACACGTTGGAATCTACTTTCACATTCTTTTTATGTAGATTTTTACACACTAAGCTCAGTGCTCTCCTAACCTTGCTTTTTTTTTTACTTAACACTATATCTCGGTGATGTTTTCATATTAGTACCTAAAATTCTGCCTCATTTGTTAATGTCTAGGATAGTTGACCTAACTTCGTTACGCCTTAGTTTCCTCACTTAAAAAAGGGGAGTTAGCCGGGCTTGGTGGCTCAGCCTGTAATCCCGTGCCTTTGGGAGGCTGAGGTGAGTGGATTGCCTGAGCCCGCGGGTTCGAGACCCACCTGGCAACTTGGCGAGACCTCATCTCTACAATTAAAAAAAATCAGCCGGGCATGGTAGCACACGCCTGTAATTCCGGCTACTCGGAAGGCTGAAGTGGAAGGATCGCTGGAGCCCACTAGGTCGAGGCTGCGGTGGTCGGGAGTGGCCACTGCACTCCAGTCTGGGTGAAAGAGTGAGACTCCAACTCAAAAAAAAAAAACAAAACAGAAAAAGAGGAGTTATGGCAGCACCTCTACATAAGACTGAGGTGATGTTTCAGTGAGATGATTGGCATACAGTGCTCGGAATGGTGCTGGATATATAGTGTTTCTTAAATTATTATTGTGAAGTGCCAGGTTATTATACTGGCAGTGTCCTTTGAGACCTCTCACTCCTTTATGTCTTTAAACCACTGAGATGAGTAGGGAATGCTGGCTGCCTCTTGGTCCTCCATTTTGTGTCAGGCTTTATGTGCATTATCTCACTGAATCCTTTCACAGTCCTCAGAGTTAGATATTACGAGCCCCAATTTTACAGATGTGGACACAGTCTTAGCTCAGTTCAGCGATCTGCCCAGTGTCACCCAGCTAGGAAGGGGTGGAGTTGGGAATTGAGTCCAGGGCTGGCTGAGTGAAGAGTACAGGCCTTTCTTGTGACACCGCTCTGTCTCTGCAGGTGGAGATGGCCCCCGAGACATTCAGTGTCTTGATGGAGAGGCTCTGTAAAGAGGGGCTGGCAGCTCCCACTTCCATGGCCTGTGCCAAGCTCATGCTGATGGTGATGACCAAGTACCAGGCTAATGTGAGTGTTGATAGGGCCACAGGGGCTGGTCCTGCTGGCAGGGCTGCTCTGGGCCTGCCATGAGGGTATTCGGATATATATATATTTTTTTGAGTTGGCGTCTCACTCTGTCACCCAGACTGGAATGCAGTGGCCGCTCCCGGCCACCGCAGCCTCGACCTGCTGGGCTCCGGCGATCCTTCCGCCTCAGCCTTCCAAGTAGCCGGAACTACAGGCGCGCGCTACCACGCCCGGCTAATTTTTTATTTATTGTAGAGACGAGGTCTTGCCAAGTTGCCCGGGCGGATCGTGAACCCGCAGGCCCAGGCAGTCCACTCGCCTCGGCCTCCCAAAGTGCTGGGATTACAGGCTGAACCACCAAGCCCAGCCTTTCAGATATTTTTGCCAGGGGTAAGACCTGAGAGCTAGCTAAAGAAACCACAAGTTCAAGCCCAGGATGGGGATTGGGACTGCTTAGGAGTTTATTCATCCAGACCATACCTCTTTGGGTCAGATGCTGTGTAGGGCACTGGGAAATCAACAGTGACCATTATGAGTCTTTGCCCTTGAGTTGACCCTGTCCCCCAACTCTGGGCTAGTGAGAGAGGAAAGATGATAGATAACAGATATTAGAATTAACATCTGGACCAGGCACAGTGGCTCATGCCTGTAATCCCAACACTTTGGGAAGCTAAAGTGGGAAGATTGCCTGAGGCCAGGACTCAAGTAACATCTGGTAGGAGCCAGGTGAGAGATGGGCAGAGGGCATTTGGTGGCAGAACAAGAGGAGCAACTAAGCCTTGCTTGTGTTTGGGAATTGGGACAGGCTTCCTGACTTTTTTTTTTTTTTTTTGAGCCGGTGTCTACTGTGTTACCCAGACTGGAGCACACAGGCACACTCATGGCCACAGCAGCCTCGACCTGTTGGTCTCAAATGATCCTTCCTCCTCAGCCTTCCAAGTAACTAGTACTACAGGTGTGCACCCCCAGGCCCAGCTAATTTTTTGATTTTTTTATTGTAGAGAGGAGGTCACACCAAGTTGCTCAAGCTAGTCTTGACCCTGGGCTCAGACAATCCTCTTGCCTCCAACTCCCAAGTTGCTGGGATTACAGGCATGAGCCACCGCACCTGGCCTTCCTGACTCTTACAATTTTTTTTTTTGAGTCAGAGTCTCATTGTTGCCCAGGCTGGGGTGCAGTGGCACACTCACAGCCATCATAGCCTACTGGGCTCAGGTGATCCTTCTACCTCAGCCTTTCAAGTAGCTGGAACTACGCCTGGCTAATTTTTGATTTATTGTAGAGATGAGGTCTCGCCAAGTTGCCCAGGTGAGTCTCAAACCCGCGGGCGCAGGCAATCCACTCACCTCAGCCTCCCAAAGGCGCAGGATTACAGGCTGAGCCACCGAGCCTGGCTAATTTTTTGATTTATTGTACTTGTAGACAAGGTCTTGTCCTGTTCCCAGGCTGGTCTCAAACTTCTGGGCTCAGGCATTCCTCTCACCTCCACCTCCCAAGTGTTGGGATTACAGGCGTGAGCCACTGCACCCGGCCCTTCCTGACACTTAGAGTGAGTGGTGATCAAGAGCTGGGCCTGCAAATAAGAGAATGGATGGGGAAGGGGATGCAGTTAGAGTGCTGAAATACCAAGAGCTTTACCTCCACAGCCCTGCTGTGTCTCAGGCACAATCTAAGCCCTTCACATATGTGACCTTGCTGGTTCATCCCAAGTGTCATTAGCTCCATTTTGGGTTTTTTTTGGGTTTTTTGAGTTGGAGTCTCACTCTGTCACCCAGGCTGCAGTGCAGTGGCACACTCATGGCCACTGCAGCCTTGACCTGCTGGATTCCAGAGATCCTTCCACCTCAGCCTTCCAAATGGCTGGAATTACAGGTGTGCGCCACTACATCCTGCTAATTTTTTGATTTATTGTAGAGACGAGGTCTTGCCAAGTTGCCCAGGCTGGTCTCGAACCCGTGGGCTCAGGCAATCCTCTCATCTCAGCCTCCCAAAGTGCTGGAATTATAGGTTGAGCCACCACGCCTGGCCATTAGCTTCATTTTGTAGATGTGGAAATTGAGACTCATAGAGATTAAAGTAACTTGTCCAAGGTTCCATTGCCGGCACTCGTAGCATTTGATGGAGGGTCTATAGGTCATGGTGAGAAGCTGTATTTTGAACTTTTATCTTGAAGGCGAGGTGTTCTTGGCTATGGGCTTTTTACTTTTATCTTGGGGGTCATTTGATGGTTTGATGAAAGCTGCAGACCCTCCCAGAAAAATGAAAATATGGACGTGCATCCAGTGCACAGTTTCAGGGAGCTCCTCTTGAGGTCCTCTTGAGGTCCTCCTTCTTGCCCTAGAAGAAGAACTTCCAGTGCAAGACCCAGGGGTCTCCAAGGGCCTCCCACCTGGGAATGGCTTGGTCACATTTCACTATGAAGAGGCATCTGGCTTCGGTTAGAAGTGGGGATTGGAGAGGGAAGACCCAGGGCCTGAGATCTGTCAGGAGGTTGTAGCAACGGGTCAGAAAAGAGGAGGTGTGGCCCAAAAGGAAGGTGGTTCCACAGTGGGTGTCTCTGAACCTCAGTTTCCTTGTGGGAGGGCTGTGAGGATTATATAAAGTATTGCATGTATATGTCTGAAGTAACCATATAAAGTGCTCCCAGAGAGCAGACACCCAGTAATTGTCAACTGGTGTTAAGTGAGCAGCTAGTATTTGACTTCAGATACTCAAGTCCACCTGAGTCCGTGGTTGGTTAGCCACGGTGAAGCAATGAGATGAGATTGCTCTGGCGTCTCCCCTCCCCCTCTTTCCATCATCCTTGTGTCCTGGCATCCTCTTTGTTTCCTAAACAGAACTCATGGGGTAACGGGGAGAGGGGAGGGGTCAGCTACTGGAGTCCTGACATGATTCTTCCTTCTTCCCAGATCACTGAGACCCAGAGGCTGGACCTGGCTGTGGCCCTAGAGCCCAATACCACCTTCCTGAGGAAGTCCCTGCAAGCTGCCTTGAGACATTTGGGCCCCTGACGATCCACCAAGGGACCACCTTCCTGGAGTTCCATCGCCAGCTGCCTGAAGGACATTTCTGCCTTCTCCTTCTTGCCCTGAGGAGCCCTTGCCTAAGGGACCAGCTACCTTCCTGCTCTAGGTTGCAGGGAGGCCATCTTGGCTTCCCAGCCAGCAGGGAGGCTTTTGGGTTAGGGGAGTTGGATGAGCTGTATTTGCAAGACTACTGGCCCTGGGCTCACTTCTCATCAGTTCTCAGGCTGCAGGGACAGGAACTTTCTGACAGGCCTCAGTAGGGCCGGGCAGACCCAGAGTCACCCTGATCTGGGGTACCCATGTGCTCAGTGAAGCCACCTGTGCTCAGGTGTATGTTACGACCTTCTGTGTTTCTGTCTCTGACTTTAATAATTTATCAGTGGCATTTAATAAAAAGCAGGAAGTTCAATAATGTCTTAGAACCAGTGCCTGCCTTCCCACTAACTGGACATTTGTTAACCTATCCCCACCCCCTCCACCAGTGAGAAGGAACTTTTTCCTGGTGAGGGGAAGGGTGTGGAGTATAAGTTCTGAAGTTCATTCATGCACACACTCTGGTCTGGGGGCCAGGTAAGGTGTGATACCAGCCATCTAGCCCTATGGGAGCCACTGGGCAGAGGGTAGGTAAGAATGGAGGGCTTAACCTGTAATCCCGTGCTTTGGGAGGCCAAGGTGAGTGGATTGTCTGAGGCTGTGGGTTCAAGACCCGCCTGGGCAACTTGGTGAGACCTCATCTCTATAATAAATAAGAAAATTAGCCGGGCGTGGTAGTGCGCGCATGTAGTTCCAGCTACTTGGAAGGCTGAGGCGGAAGGATCGCCGGAGCCCAGCAGTTCAAGGCTGTGGTGGCCGGGACTACAGTCTGGGTGACGGAGTGAGACTCCAACTTAAAAAAAAAAAAGAATGGAGAGCTTAAAGTTGGGAGTGGCTCGGTCAAATTGGTAAAGGGTTTTGGGCAGGTAATGTTTGAGGAGGGATCTCAAGGGCTCCTGAGACTCCTGTGGGCTGTGACGAGGATGAAACCCACTGGGCAGAGGGAGGGCAGAAAAGATGCTTTGTGGGTGTGCATGCCGTGGGCCTGTTTTATATCCTTGTCTTCCTAAAGCACCTAGCTAGATGCCTTGTTCATAGTATGCACTGAATAGGTAGATGTCATTGAAGTAACCACCAGGTGAAAGCCCACTATGAACCTTCCCACCTCTTCCCCACTGTAGGCAGTGAGAGGCCTGGGACAGAGCTTCCTTGACACTTCCCTTACTACGTATGAGTCCACGTTAGAGCAAGAAGCTTCTTGAGGGAGGTCAGACCTAGGAAAAAGCCTGCTTTTGGGAACAAGCTGGTGCAGAAGGCAGGGAGTGGGCAGAGGAGGTTTGGGGGACAAACGCGGTGGAATTGCACGTTGTTAGCAAACATCACAGTGCTGTACCCAACATGTGTGACTTCTGAACCCCGGGCTCAGCCGCAGCGGGCATCGATGGGGATATTCCCAGGGTGCCGCGGGGCGCCAGGACTGCCTGCAACTCCGTGGGTCTTCGCGGAGGCCTAGGGTACAACGGGCAGCAGCGCCCTCCAGTGGTCTCAGGCGGCGGCGCTCCTCGAAGCTGAGCCACCCGATCACCCTGGAGGTAGGCCAAGGGTACAAGGCACTTCTCGCGAGAGCTGGAAAACTATTTGAACGCATGCGCAAGCGATCCTAGTCTCTTTTCCGGTTACTGCAACGCGAGGAGCCATGAGGTAAGTGGTGCTGAAGGTGCTATCCGCGTACATCTGCTCCTCCAGCGTGCGCCGCCAGGGATAGGAGCTCCGCAGGCCGAACGGAGGGCCCCTGCGCCAGCTTCGCCGCGGGGGATTTCTGGCGGAGGGCCGACCTGCTGGCCTTTCCGCCAGGTCCGGTCCCCAGAAAGCTCCTTGTCTCCCAGGGGCTGGGGCCTGGCTCCGGGCCCTTGGCGCTCGACGCGGTGTCCGGAGCGGAGCGCCCAGCGGACCGTCCGCCCATCCGCAGCCTGCAGCCTCCAGCCCCGGGGGCTTCCGAGCCACCCGCGCGTGAGTCGAAGGCCTGAGCGCTCCCTGTCTCTCTCGCCCGCAGCAGCAAAGTCTCGCGCGACACGCTCTACGAGGCGGT